AATGTTGTAGGTTTTCTGAAAAATTTGTAAACTGTGTGAAAATGTTTCAAATTGTCTGAGAAAGCTGTAAACCATCTGAGAATGCTGTAAACAGTCTGATAATATTGTAGATTGTCTAAAAAATTTGGAAACTGTCTGAAAATATTATAAACTGTAAGAAAACGGTCTGAGAAAGCCGTAAACTGTCTGAGAATATTGTGGATTGTTTGAAAATTTTCTAAATTGACTGAGAATGTTTATATTGTCCAAAAATTCTGTAAACTATCCAAGAATGTTGTACATTGTCTGAAAACTTTATAAACTGAAAATGTTGTGAATGCAAGAGAATGTTGAAACCAGCTGAAATGTTGTAAACTGTCTGATAATGTCGCGATTGTCTGACAATGTATGGACTGTTGGAAATCTTTTAAAATGTCTGAGAATGTTGTAGGTTTTCTGTAAAATTTTCTGTTTGAAAATGTTGTAAATTGTAAGAGAATGTTGTGAATCGTCTGAAAATGCTGTAAACTGTCTGAGAATGTTATAGATTGTTGATAATATTGTGGATTGTTTGAAAATTTTGTAAACTACCTGAGAACGTTTGTATATTGTCTGAAAGCTTTTTAAACTGTCAAAAATGTTATAAATTGTAAGAGAATGTGGTAATTGAGAAAGCTGTAAACTGTTTGATAATGCCGTAAATTGTCTGAGAATGTTATGATTGTTTGAAAATTTTGTAAACTGTCTAAGAATGTTTCAGATTTTCTGAAATTTTGTAAACTCTCTAGAAATATTGTAAATTGTCTGAGAATGTTATAAACCTTCTGAAAATGCTGAAATATGTGTGATAATGTCATAGATTGTCTGAGAATGTTATGGATTGTTTGAAAAAATTTGTAAACTATCTAAGAATGTTTCAGATTGTCTGAAAATTTGTAAACTCTCTGAAAATATTGTAAATTGTCTGAGAATGTTATAAACCTTCTGAAAATGCTGTTATGTCTGATAATGTCATAGATTATCTGAGAATGTTATGGGTTGTTTGAAAATCTTATAAACTGTCTAAGAATGTTGTAGATTGTCTGAAAACTTTGTAAACCGTTAGATAAAGTCGTAGATAGTCTTAGAATGTTGTAGATTTGTTGTTGTAGACTGTGTGAAAATTTTGCAAATTGTCGGAGAGTATTGTAAACTGCCAGAGTTCTGTAAGCAGTCTGAAAATGGTTTTACATTATCTGATTGAGTATATTGCAGACTGAGTGGGAATATTGTGAACTGAAAATGTTGTAGATTGTTTATTTTGATTACAGCATTACGAAGTTTCACTTCGTGGTGAAGTGAACTATCAAATTATTTTACTTTAAAGTGATTTTGATGGTGAATTTTCTCTTTCAGTGCTCGTGTTGCGCTACTGATGTGAAAGATGAATTATATCGACTATGCCTGATATTTGTATCGGTTATAAATTGCATTTGGAGTGTGGGAGGTAATAAAAGAATAATTAAGTTAAGCTATTTGTATAATTGTAATGTTATATTAGTAATTTAATATTTATAGTATTAACAATGATAATATTACTTGAGGATAATAATTATTAAAAGATAATAAAAAAATAATTTTATTTTTTGTTCAGACTTTTCCTGGTATACATGGTGTAAGTTTTAAATTTTAATATAAAATTTATTTTATAGGCTTATAAATTTATATGATTGGCTTCATGCATTTCGGCATGTAACATCAACTGTTGCAAATGGGATATCTGATGCAGAAGCTGAGGAAGACACTATTGAAATTGAACCAGAAATACAGTAATTTTTTTTATCAACTATATATTAATTTAAAAATATGAACAAACAGCACTTCTTTTTGGTTTTAATTTATTAAATGATAATAATTTTACAAACGTTTCGAGGCTAGGTTTGTCTCATCATCAGTGTATTATAATTTAAAATCTAAAATATGAAAATCTAAAATAGCACTATGTGTTAACAATCCAACTTGTTCCTCTTACTGAATGCAATTATGAATGAAATTATAATACACTGATGATGAGACAAACCTATTATTTAATAAATTAGTGCAAAAAAAGAGTGCTGTTTCTTCATATTTCTAAATTAATATATATATATATATATATATATATATAATATATATATATATATATATATATATATATATATAAATACAGGGCCGGTCCTGCCTTGCATGCGATGCATGCAAAAAATGCGGGCGCCAAAACGAGTTTCGGAAATTAAATTTATAATATAATGTTTATATTTTTTATATAAAATCTAGAATACTTAATAAATGATAATAAACAATCTAACTTAATTAGGGATACGGAGACACAAAAAGCATTTATTCACATTTATTTTGCAATGTGATATCAGTAGAAACAATTAACTGATTAATAACTCTGCAAATTAGTAAATAACAGCTCTGCCCATTGCTTAATTCACTTATTAAATTTTTTCTTTGTTTGAAGTTACTGTGGAATCGAAGAAGAAATTGTCTGGTGTTCAATCCCATAAGCTCAAACCTACGAAAGATTAAATTAATTGTTGGGCATTATTGACGAACAATTGCGAGCTGATTTAGTTGAAACGGAACTTGTTAAAAAATATAAACAACTTATAATGGGGAAAATAAAAAATCGAGAGTCAGTGCTTAAAAAATGGTATGTTTATTCCGAGAAATTGAATTGTAACTTTTGCTTTTGTTGCAAATGTTTCGCTTCTGATGAATGTTGAATGTTGAAAACATGCGTGGTTAGGGTTATGGAAATGGAACAAATATAAAAAAATGGAAGCAAAATTTACTTTGGAACGAAAATCTTAAGGCTTTTTTTATACCTAGCGGTGTCCATTTAATAATTATTAACTATGCAGAAAGAATACATATCAAATATAATAAGTTTTTTTCAATATATTTAAAGAAATGTGTAATTTCTTTGTATTTTTTACTGATTTTTGGACAATACTTTTAAAATACGTTAAAAATTTAACTTTAAAACAATAAACTGATACTCTGAATATGACGGTAAAGCAAGGATAAATACATTTCGGCTCTTACGATATCAATAAGGAGAAGTTTACGACGCAATTTTGGATATTGCAAATGATATAAATTAAATTAAATTAAAATTTCAAAAATCCAACATGGCATGATTTGCTCAATAGAATAGGGTAGAGCGTGGCTAGTTGAGCATAGGGGCAAGTTGAGCAATCGAAATATCTCGAAAACTATTCACCGTCCGTTTAAGTATTATATGGCGGAAAGACAGAGGTTTGGGAAAAATAAACATCCCGCGATCGCTAGTGGCCGCTGGACAGATGAGTGAGGCTCACGGGCGTTTTGTTTATTTTGAGACCAAAAAGTAAAAAAGTAATTCATCGCGAGTTTTCGTCTGGTTTAGTCAAATGTTATTCATTTTTAATCAGGTAAATGTTATTCTTCCATACATTTATAGTACTTTTAATAGGCACAGAGATTCTGGGTATAACTCTCACGGTATTTCTATAAACTCACTTTTATTTTGAAATTCCGAGTTGGGGTTAGTTGAGCATAGTTGCTAAACTTGTTCTGTCACTAAGCAAAAACAATTAACTTCCAGAAATTAATTATTATTTTTAAGATTTAAGCTAAGTCTTTGAGTAATAATATAAAGAAATAATGATTTTAATCAAAAATACTGAATATAATGGTAAAATAATTCCTAAGATACGATATTGTTTTGTTCTACTTTTGGTTAATTATTCAAAGAAAATTACTATAAGTTTTGTTTTCTCTGTCAATAAAGACTATAAATATAGAACTGGTTATTCAAAACTTATTTTATTTCATTGTACCTATGATTTCATTATACTTTCTTAGTGCTCAACTTGCCCCACCTATGGGGTACATTGAGCATACTTGACTTTTTGCATTTAGACAGATGTAGCTTTTAAATTTTACTTATTACCAAAAAATGGTATTAACACTTTTGTTAAGCGATAAACAACAAATCCATTAAGCCGTATAGCAATTTATTGAGACTTTTCATTGAGGAGCTACATCCGTTTAAGTAAAAATTTGCTCAACTAGCCCCGCCCTACCCTAAATCGCATAATAAATAAGTAAAATGTTATAAAACCCAAATATTAATATTGTAAAAAATAATTGAAATTTTAAAAATATTTGATTATAATCAACCCGCAAATCGCCTCGATTTTCGAAATAATTTAAAATCAATATATTTTATCCACTTTTAGATTATATCCAATTTTTTGTGTACTAAATCCAGAATAATTAAAAATAAATTTTTGAAAAATATGTAAATATTTATATAATTTAAATGATAAACTATTAAAGCAGTTAATATTGATAGGGGGGAGGGCGCTAGAAAAAAAAGTTGCATGCGGGCGCTAAGGACCCCAGGACCGGCCCTGTTTATATATATATATATATATATATATATATATATATATATAGAATTTGATACATCACAATATATCTCAATGATAGTATCAATGATATTTCATTTATTCTATTTGTTTATTCATTTTTCTCTTTATTTAACAGAGCCAGATTCACAAGTATGGTTTCCGAATTGCAGCATCTCGGATTCATAAAATCTTCAAATAAAAAAAGGGATCACGTAACAAGATTGACTTGGTGAACAAAAAGTCATTTGCATTTGGTAATTGTTAATTTGTTTGTTACATGTTGAATAATGTTTTTTTTTAACCATTTATATTTATGTAATAAAATACTGCGATATTCAGTTATTGTGTTTAAAATCAACTTGAAAGTATAAATTGCACTTGTAAATCTACAAAGGAATTCAGGAATTCATTTATTACATCGAGTCAACACTCTTTAATGTATAGGATCAATTTTCTTATTTTTTTTAGATGCGTTTTTAGATGATTTTTAAAATTACTTGCATTCAACCATCATTTTTTACCTTCCTACCGCACTTTCCAATTTTATTAATCACTTTTAAACTGATCGATAACTGGTCCATTATTGTCTTTTTGTGGACGTTTTTTTTCTTGAATTTTGATCCAGAAAGTTAATGAAAAAGCTTAATTTTTTTTTTTTTAAATTATTTTATTAACTTTCCATAGGGTAAGTTTGCGATTTGAGTTTTGGATAAGTTCCGATTTGAATGATTTGAAAAACTTTCTGCTTGTGTTGACAAAACGATTGCTTTTGAAGAAAGATTTTTTTACTTAATTTTCAAAACATTTAAAATATTTCGAATCGAATATTTCATTATGGTACGGGAAGGTCTAGCAATTTGCTTTAAGGCACGATGCTATACACCACTAGTTTTATCTACTCTAACACTTGAATTTTTTGAAACACATTTAATTGTTTTATGCATTGTTATATTTATTTTAGTTGCAACAGATTTTTTATACAACTTTTCTAAAAGCTTACATGTGGTTAGGGTAAAAAGGATCAATTGACAAGGATCAATCACATTTTCACTGACAAAGGTGAAAAAAATAAGATAGTAGTAAATAAAACTAGTGGTGCATGGCATCATGTCTTTACACACATTGCTGATGCTTTCCATACTGTAATGATATTCGAAAAATTTTAAATGTTTTCAAATAGATTTAATTTCGTAAATTCTGTAACTTTTGTTATTTGTATTTTATAGACAAAATATAAGAGCTTATAAATTGGACGACGACGTTTCTATGTTTACATGAAAACTAAATAAACAAAACTTAATCAAGCGGAGTTAGAATTAAAAGAACTTATTTACTAAACTAAACTAAAACGATTCAGTTTGGTTCATTAACATTGATCTCCTTGGCATGTATTTAGTCTGGACTTTTATATGCGTCTCTCGGCCCTAACAACTGACTTTGCCAATCGCATATATGAGTTCTACGGCCAATTTGATGCTTTTCGTAATAATAATTTTTCTTTACTAATAATAATTTTTGTTAATATTGAATAATCAGATACTAGTTGAATGTTAAATAAAGTCACATTTTTGTAACATGCTTTTATAATAACAAAATTTGATATAAAATACAAATATACAACACAGAGCAGAAATAAAATGTATGCTTGATTATAAATCTATTTATTTCGTATTAACATCTTTATATTAGGTGTTCAGACATTGGTTGAGTGATAGAATAAAATATAACAAATGTAAATCATATGTAAAAGTCACATTATATTCTACCATTCATAACAGCAACAACCACGAGAAGGTTTCTGAACTTGTGTTGCCAAAAAACTTACAACGGCATTTATTTGTGCAGTGTGCAGATATTGTTAATACAATATCTTTTTATACCGTCTTCAAATAGATGAGATGAGATCTCATGATAACCATTTATCTCAAATAGAGAATTTTGGTTTTCTTATTATGACAGTCTTTTATTTAATATCCAAGCTTTGGATAAGTATTATTCTTTTTGTGCAGTGCACAAAGTGAACAACAATATTTAAAATCAGGACTTCCTACAGCTCCTGGCGATAAAGATTGTGAAGCTAGGCTTTTATCACAATCAAATTGTATTCATCGACTACACATGCCACAACTGATCCAGGAATCACTAGAGGACTTTAAATTTATATTACATTTATTTTTGCATTTCATAAGTGATAATTCAGAATTTAGTGTATGTTTATACCATGAATTGCATTTTATATATGTATAATATGAGGGGCGATCTGTTGGCAAGTTGGACAAATTGGACAAATATTGTCAACTGGTGAGATATTTTCCAAAAACTCTGTCATTAATTGTTTTCTATATTCACTAGGTTCGATTTTATAGTTTAATTCAGTGTTATTTAACAAACATAATACATTTTTTATTGTAAAAAGTCCACAACTATGACCATCGGTCTGCCGAGGAGAAATTATTTTATGAAAATTCCATTGGAATCTTTCTGCTTCAGTTAAACAGCTTTTACGAAATTGACTAAAAATAAAATAATCTGTTGCAGCATCAATGCAAGAATTAATAACACTGAATTGTTTTTTTTATCTATATCTATTAAAACTAAGAGCCAATGGTTATTAAAATTATGTGGCGCTAGATACTTTAAATCTGATGATAATTTTATAACAAAGTTATCATTATTATAATTTATAATATGATCATATTCATAACACTTAAAATGTTGAATTTTTTGCTATCATATTCAATTGATACTAAGTAAGTCGATGATTCTGTCATCTAACCACTCATATCCATATAAAATAAAAAAATTATTCAATTTAATGGCATATTAACCAAAAGATCCTATAGTATACAATATATCCCTATTATACATGAAGGGTTTTATATAGAAATGAAAATCTATAGCTACATTATTGTTAGGATACAAACCTATTTTTAGATATGTGCTAGAGTCAGCAGAGTTATTTGAATCTAGACATTTATGCAAAGGAATTGCATTTTTCCTACATAGGTAAAAATTGACCGGATTAAGTTTCTGTGTTACAGGGCATTTATTTATTAAATCATTATTGGCAAGTCGCAACATACCTCTCAATTTCACCACGAAATGTCCTGCTTCCATATATTTATCACCATGGCAGATTTTGTTCTTTAATGTATTGAAAAATGATTCGACAGCAGCATTTGAATACTAATGTTTTCTGTCATTATCCAACATTAGACCTGACCACAAAGATATAATTGGAATATACCTGTCCATTACATAATTTAAGAAACCTGGGAAGAAAAAACGATTAATAAATCCTTCTTTCGGCATAATCTTTTCGGTTTCACATTTAATACGAAGGAAATCTTTATAAAATAGACTACTTCGTAAAAGATCTCGACATGGCTCACGATCATTTGTTATTTCTGAAACATCAGTATCAGTCAAGATTGTCTTGTTTGATACTGAGTCATTATTTTCAAATAGATTTATTTCCTTGATGGCTAAATCTATATGTATATTATGATACTTACTACCTAAAATCCATACAATATGAGTGAACATTTTTCGAGCATGGTTTAAATCTCTACATCTTTCATCTAAAAGAAAAATAATTGAGCTTACAGCTACAGATATTATTTCCTGATTACCATTTGCAAATTTTTCTGCATGATATGACAGCCTCTTTGTGAAATGACTGCAACATAAATGTAATGTTATGTTTTCTGTAAAAAGTTTAGAACTATTATCATCTAAAAACATATAGCACTTATTAATATAATCAATCAATTTTGTATTATTGCAACCTTGGATTATCGCATGAATGCTTGCATAGCTGTGGTTACAAACCACACGTTTAAAAGGCATATGACCGCCTAATTCATCTATACAATCTGTAATATCAATATCTCTTTCAATCGCTCTAACATTATGTTCATTTGATGAAAAATTTAACAATGGATATGTATAACGAGCTGTATTTGTGGGCACTGTCGTTACATCTGAATATAAAAATGTTCTCTTACATGAGGGGTGAATTTTTTTTACTAAACTACCTGTCGCATCAAAATACAGTACTCTATCTGCTTTATTTTGCAAATAACCTTTCAATACATCACCTCTGCTTTATGACTTACTGTTACGATAATCATCTTTAAAAGGCCAGATAAAATTTGCTTTTTCGCAGGTAATGTCAATTGGTAGATTGTATACTTTACCAAAATTTTCATATAATTCAGGAAATTCTGTTATCATATCTTCGAACTGCTCAAGACGACATGCTGCCGGTTTTTGATGTTTTTTTTTTTAAATCATCTCTGTCTTTTCCTCTAAGTTGCCTACACCTAAGAATTGGATTAGTTTCTGTACTATGATTAAGTATACCTTCAGGTATGATTAAAATTTCTTTAATCATTTTTTGATGAGGATCAAATTTGATGTGAGCATTAAATATAATGCAATTTCCAGCATCCTTTTCCTCCTTTTGATTGCGATTCTTGGGACAATAAGCTCTAATATGAGCACTATTTTTATTTACTCGTGCATAGCGAAAGTTCAAATGGCAAGGGTATATTGCAGCTTTCCTAAAACACTTTAAAAATGCTTCTTTATAAAATTTATTTCTTTTAACTGTACCATCTACAATATGAAATAAATCCTCAAATTGGAGATCTAAAAAAAATGGCTTATTTTCCTTCGGGATTTTGTCGGTAACACTCATTGATGAGTTTTCGATTTTACTATATTCTAAAGCACTATTTGAAACACCAGAAAAATTGCCAATCATCGTGCTTGAGAAGACATCCATTTTTGAAACAATATGAGATGGTACAAAAGAAATATTCTAAAAATAAACTAAAATTTAATAAGGCTAAATTAGGATAAGTATAATTATGTAAAAAAATTATTTTTATCTTATAAATATAATTAATATGCCTCACCTTAATATTGTTATATTATTAACTTGAAAAAGTTCCGATATAAAACCCGAAAATAAAAACTATAACATCCTAAAACAAAAACATAAAAACTCATTAAAATAATAATGCTGTTATTAATAAATAATATGCCTCACCTTAATAGTGATCTTTATCATACGTTATTATAATATTAAGTTATCAACAAATAAAATATTGATTGTGTATTTTAAATAATATGCCTTGCCTTACCTTAATATATTATTCCGGTTCGCATGAAAAAACTCTATCTTAATACTACTTGTTAAGTCAAGAGTTTATTTAGCTTCATTACAAAATTCTAAGAAAATAATAAGAAAAAGAGAATAATAAGAAATTCTATACAGTTTATTCAGCTACTCTTCATTACAAATTTCTAAGAAAATATAATTATTGAATCTATTCTAGCTCTTTAATCTATTTTATGTATTATTATTTTATGTAAAATTTATTAATGCTTTGATGATGGAAGACGCTATTCAAATTTTTCTTTAGTAAGGTCACTGGCATTCTGATTCTGGTGAGACTGGCCTCGAGCACGACCACCGCGGCGGCCTCTGTTGCCACGGAAGCTGCTGCTGCCTGCAGAAGGGGGGAAATTACTTCGCGTTGGCTTCCTGCCGCGCTGAGTTTTTCTGCCCCGTCCTCCGCATACTGAGCCTCTCCAACTTGCGGCATGGTCCTGGGACTAAAGTAATAATATTATAACAACTTATAGCTAAGACATATTTACAAATGTATTTATATAATATTATATAAATGCTACATTACCTTATCAAGATAAATTTTAAGGCTAACGCCCTCAGTATTTATCATGATTTTATTGAATAGATTAATAAATATGTTTGCGTCGTATGGCATTTCAAACGGCAGCAAAGCCACCGTCTTCCACTCTGCTCTCATTGCTGCCTGAATTTTCTTCAGCACTTCTCCAACTGTCTGGAGCTCGCAATCTGCCATAAGAAAAATCATAATGAAAAATTGCTTAAATTTGTATATAAGTTCCTTATATATACTTATATATAAGATTTAGATTTTTTAGTTCGTATATTTATATTTATACCTTCATCCTCATATGCAATGGCACATAATGCCACTGCATGTCCCAAGCAGCTTGTGGTCCAGGCGATGTCCCCGAGACTCTCTGGCCTCGGATTTTCAGTATTAAATCTATCATAGCAAAAAATAGAAATATGTACACGTCCTGAACAATAAAGAAGTGGATTTAAATTACTTACATTGTCATTTTTTCCATTCTTGACTTTTTGTGAGTACCCGTGAACAAAATGTGTACGTACTCTACAGGTATCGTTTGCAACATTGAGAATGTCAACACTTTTGCAGCATCTTTAGTTAAGACTAGAGAAAATGTAATATATATATGTTCATATGTATATATATATATATATATATATATATATATATATATAAAAATTAAAATTACCAGTTTCTTTATTTTCCGTTGCCATTTTGCGATTTTTACTCACAGCGTATTCCAATGATCACACATTATTAATAAACTATTTACTAAAGCCATTGATAACAATGTTTATTTATTTTATAAAATATATAAATTAATTCATATATCTAATTAACATTAATTTCTATAAGCAGTCATATGTAATTTTGTTACCAATTTTGTAAATACTAATTACTCATTGGTATGAGCACCCATGTGCCTTTTCAGGGCTTCTGAACGTTTGAATACCTTATCACAGATTTAACATTTGTAAGGGCATTCTCCGGTGTGAATGACCATATGTCTATTCAAGTTACGCAAGTATCTGAATGTCTTATCACAAAGTTGGCAAATATAAGGATGCTCACCAGTGTGGATGAGCATATGTCTATCCAACTTACTTGATTCTGTAAATGTCTTACTACATACTTTTCATTTATTAAGACGTACCCCAGTGTGAATTAGCATATGTCTATTCAAGATACTCAATCGTGCGAATGTCTTATCACATATTTGGCAAATATGTGGCCGTTCACCAGTGTGAATGAGCATATGTGTATTAAAGGTACCCAAGCGTGCGAATCTCTTATCACAAATTTGGCAAACATGGGGACGCTTACCTGTGTGAATAAGCAGATGATGATTCAAGTTAGCCAATTGTGTGAATGTCTTATCACAAATTTGGCAAACATGGGGACGTTCACCTGTGTGAATGAGCAGATGTTGATTCAAGTGAGACAATTGTGTGAATGTCTTATCACAAATTTGGCAAACATGGGGACGTTCACCTGTGTGAATAAGCCGATGTTGATTCAAGTGAGACAATTGTGTGAATGTCTTATCACAAATTTGGCAAACATGGGGACGTTTACCAGTGTGAATAAGCATATGTCTTTTCAAGTGAGACAATTGTGTGAATGTCTTATCACAAATTTGGCAAATATGCGGGAGTTTTTCAGTGTGAATCAACATATGTCTTTTCAATTGAGACAATTGTGTGAATGTCATATCACAAATTTGGCAAATATGGGTACGCATATGTCTATTCAAATCTACCAATTGTAAGAATGTCTTTTCACATATTTTGCAAATATAAGGGCGTTCTCCAGTGTGGATGGACATATGTCTATTCAAGGAACCCAATTGTGTGAATGTCTTATCACAAATTTGGCAAATATGCGGACGTTCACCAGTGTGGATGATCATATGTCTATTCAAGTAACTCAATTGTGTGAATGTCTTTTCACATATTTTGCAAATATGGGGACGTTCAACTGGTCCCTTTGCAGTATGAGCACGAATATTTCGTTTTTGATTACTAGATTCATTCAAATGTAAAATTTGTTCTCTTGCAGAATCACAAATGTGTTGATCTAAGTGATATTTTTCAGTAAATGCTTTGCAGCACTTTGTACATGTGAAATGTTTTTCACCTGTATGAGATTTTATATGTATTTCTAATGCACTTGCATCTGAAAAAGACTCTGAATGATATGTATCCCTATGACAATAATTTAACATATGCTGTTCTAAATAATGCAACTTTCTAAATGTTCTATTACACTTGATACATTTATAAGGAGGAGTTTGAATTAATTCCTGTTCGACATCTTCTTCTATTTTTACAATAGAGTTCATAAATCTCTTTAGACATGTTTTGTCATCCTCTGAACACGATTTATACTCTTCATCAATTTCCTGTTTAATGTCTTCGATTGGATATTCTTGTGGTTCAATTTTAATTATCGGATCATTAGGAGCTTCTGACATTTTGATATTTTTGTGCATCGAGTATGTTCTATAAGCAAAACTATAAACAAAAATAGTTGGTTAGTTTAAATGAACTATTGTTAAATATGATAATAAATTTCACTAGAAATATAAATTAAAACATTAGCTGTTGACAGTTGGAGCATGGAGTATAATTTTAGAAAGTGCATTACATTTATGCTCTCGTAACATTTTACAAGAGTGTATGTTTAAATTAATAATCGTTCTCAACTGTCAACACAAATGATTCTGAGAATATAATATATTCGTATAATGGATTTGTCTAAGCATGTAATCTTACATTAAGTTAACAGGAATCTATTTTAGACAATGTCGCCAAGAGAATTTCTTCTTCAAAATAATTTATATTTGACAGACAGTGATTTTGAATCAACTAAAGCTATTGGCTTGTCATATAATTATTGCAGAGCTGAAATGAAAAAAAGTAAAATTAAATTTTACATTTTCTTTGCGTATCTTCATTTGGAATTAAATGTTTTTTTGGAATGAAATAAATATAATTAAAAGTTAGTCATGTGGAATAACCTCAAAGTATTATACACTACCTTTATGTTTAGCTATCAATCACAAATACCGCTTTATAATAACATACACATATTATTACATATTTATATTTGAATTTATATATATAATATACTTAAACATTTAATTGATAATTAAATAAACAAAATGTTCGTTTAGTACATTAAAATTTGTTTGACAGACACCAACACCTGTTAACGAACTTCGCTCCCTTTACATTGTTCTATGTTACCGTTGCCAACATAAAAATATTTACAAATATGGGGACGTTTCGCCCATAGATGAACAAAAGTATAAATAGATCGCTATGTCTGGCGAAATGTAGATTACCATGTTTTAAAATGGATTGGTATTCGAATTGATCGAAGGATGGCGCTACGATTTCCAATTTCATTGATCTAGCTTGATCTACATTGATTTGATCGCCATTTTCTATAAGTTGTGCATATGTTGATTCAATTCAAAAGATTCGTGGATTATAGTTGAGATGTGTTATATTTGTTTTTCTGTAATTGTTTATATACAATTATGTTTTGGTGAATACTTTTTTTCATTTATTATTAAGTTAAAATGGTAAAATGTGCCAAATTGTTATAACTCCAAATATAATAAAAAAATGCATGTCTTTCCGGCATCTAATTATCAGGTATGTATATAATGATGTATTACGCATATAATGAATAGAAATCATGAAAATACTATTAAAATGTTATATATATATGTTTGTGTAAATATATATTATATATATTTGAGTGTAAAAATTTCTGTGTAAAAAGATGCTTTCAATTTGGATGCAGAGAACGAATAATCCTTTAATAGATAACCTAACTCTTCGGTTTGTGTCACAAATCAAAGATAATTTGAAATCGAAAGCAATTAGAAGTGTCTCCTCTACAGCAATAACAGAATTCAAGTCACTGGAGAATGCTCTGATAAAGAACCAGAAGAACAATATGCATGTCCAAGGACAAGGCCAAGTGATTATAACTCTAAATACTTCAATACCATTTGCAAAAAAATATTAATAAATGAATCTTATGTTCTATATGATAGGTGATGAAAGCCTAAAAACCTTGAAAAAGATTTTCAGCCCCTAAGATTGTCAAGTGCGTGTTAAAATTCATCTATTCTGACACCAGTTTTCCGCAAAGATATTTTTTCATAATAATTGCAGCAAAAATAATTAATATGATAATAACAATATCTTCAATTAATATGATATAACAATATATTCAATAGAAGTCTTTGGTGGTAGCTGCAAATTGCCGCAGAATGCAGTGATAAGGCGTAGGAGTGCCTTAACATCCAGAAGATGTATGATACATCAAATTTTGTTTCGGGATTAAAAAGGATTAACAATATGATTAACAACAATGCAATAATTTGAAGGATAAATTCCAACAGAGTATACAATGTTCGGAGAAGTTTTCAAATATTCCGGAAACGTAAAATGTAAGGGCAAGAATTTTGATATTGTCTCAATTAAGAATTAATTAAGCATACTCAAAGACCAGGCAGTTTATAAAAAGCAAGGGTTTAGTTATAGTTTTAACTAAACTTCCTTTCAATAAAAACTGGATTAAAACGATAGATAGGTTTGAGCTACAATTGGTATAAATTAAAAGTAGTTCAGGATTTTGGTTACATAAGTTTAAAAAAAACACCTATACAGAAACTATTAAAAGATTTCGTCAAATGTAACTTTATTAATAATTGATTAGATAGCAAAATAACTATTAAATGGAGAGATAACAAACAAGAATGTATCGTAAATGAATTATAATCCTAGGAATTTAGTTTTATCTCAATTTGGATATCAATATATATATCTTTAGTTTTTAGGATTATTTTGTCTGGGAAGTATTCGTTTTTTTAAAAAAAATTGCTGTTCTTCTTATCCTTTTAAATTTTTGCATTACTTGCATTCCTTCTAAATTTGTCATTCCATCGCCAATACTCCTGCTCTTTTCACTTCTTAGTTTTTAAGTTTTTAATATATTGATATTAGTATTAAGTAATTAATATTAATACGTTATTTCTCTTTAATTTGTAGCACTTTAAAAATATGCCTGTAATATACTTTAATTAATAGTAATCAGTTATTTCTGTTTAGTTTATAATTCTTCAAAAATATGTCTGTGATATATTTGAAAATATATTTTGTATTTCGTATGTTTTTTTCTTATTTCAAATATTAATTTTTTTTCAGATTTTTTGGCTTGATTATATGTACAAATGTAGAAGTAATACCAGGGGTTGATTTACATACTCTACATGTGCTGCCATGTTGTGATCAATTTGTAAATTAAAATGGTTGTAACGTCAAATTGCCCGAGATAGCGATCTATTTATGCTAATTTATCTATGGTCTAGGATCTACAAGTTCAGTTCTTTCAAAGTGATCATTATGTTTAAAATTAAAATTTTTGTAATTTATAGTGATTTATGGAAGTGAAAAAAAAATTTGATGACAAATTTTATAGAAAATGATATATGTGAAATTGAATTTTGAGGTATAAATTATTAAAATACCATGATGCATTGAAATAATTCTTATATTTAAAATAATAATTTATTTATACATTTCTACGATTTTGACATAACACATTTAACATTGATTGTGGCAATTATATACTGTATTATTACAAGTTACACAATTATGTAATTTTTTCTTGCTATTTTATTATAATTCAAATTCAAATAATTATTTGCTGTTAAATGTTAATTTAAAAACATTGAAAAGTGTTCATAGTGTCATGTTAAAAACTTTTTTTGTTGAATGAACTTTAGCAGCATTTGACAAGTGTCAATGGAAAAACTAACATTAATATTTATCCATCAAGTACTTCAGAATATTTTTTTAACAATTCCCCCATAATATAATACAAAATGAATCATTCTTCATATTAATATAAAGCAATATGCTTGATTAGAGTTTTTAACTTCTCGAAGGAGATTATGTTTATAAGTATTAATTAATTCTGGTTTTTTAATTGCAGCATCTACGAGTCATAACATATTCAAATAAGAAAAGACATCAATCAATTGACTTGGTGAAGAAAAACATTGGTAAGCACTTGTTGAAGGACATTTATATTATCTATGATAAGAGATTCATTTTTTTGTCAATAAACTATTATTTGATAAGTACGTATAATCAAAATATATTTAAGGGACTTATTTGAAAACTTCGTTCTTCTTCTTTTTTGCGTATATTTATTGTCAATCAAGATAATACAATTTTTAAGACAATATGCTGGTTGTAAATGCATTTAAAAAGTTTACCTCCTATGATATATCCTCTTTCCTTTTTTGTATTTTTTGATATGGCCATTTTCTTTTCACTCTTCGAGTAGGAGATTCTCACTTAATTCTAATAAATATTAGTTTATTAAATTTTTCCTCCTTTTTTGTATTTTTTGACCTGGCAATTTTTTTTCACTCTACGAGTAGGTGATTCCTCACTTAATTCTTTTTTTTTTTTTGGTGACTTGGTAATTTTTTGTGCTTGTTTCTTTTATTACTTCATTAACAGTTTTCATTTTCAAGTCTTTATACGTAGAGTGTCATTCGTAATATACCACGGTGCGTTCACAATGCAGTCAAACTTCTAATCAACTAAATGCAATTTTGTAGGTCAGTTAATTGCATGTTGGCCATCTATTTTATACCTACGGGGCCAGTTCTCTAATTAAATAGAAATATTATGGCAACGCTACGTTAAGGCCCAATCTTTGTAAGAATAGGTAATAAAAAAAAGTGCGCGCAAGGTTCACACGCAATTGAAGTAAAACTTATTTGCTACTGTACAAGATGGCATTCAAGTAAAAATAAATACAACATATAACAATTTTGAATAATGTTTATTAGTAATATGGTAGCACTCGTGATGCACACATTTATTAGTGTCAACCATTATACACATTTATATAACAATAAATTATAAATTATATATTTATAAAATATGTATAATATTTAAAAACAATAATGCAATTAAAGTCATACTTCAAATATGACATGATCGGTTTGTCATTATAATTAGCATTTAGAAATGAACCTTCATTAGAGAAATGAAGATTACTTCTGCTACTGCTGATTAATAAATTATTTAATATTTGTTCACACAGTGGATTATGTTAAAAACGTCTAAACAAATATTGTTTTCACAACTTTACTTATCATGTAATTGTGTTCGCAGAACTTCATGTAATGAAAATCAGCATACATTCATTGACTGCTTGTATTTTTCTTTACTTTTTTGCTGGCAATATAATCTCATTTTAAACAGCTGGTAATATCTGTCTTGCGTAAAAAATATTTTCCATTTTAATAACTTCAATGATCTATAGAAACTATGAATAATATAGAAATTATTTCTAATCAACAAAGTTACGTTTAGTGAACGGCACAAATGCTTAAATTGTTTTATTATTTTCAAGGAACAGGGTAAAATATTCTTCTGATTCAGGCATTCTACAATAAATCAAGATTTGTACTACGACGTAAATTTAAAATGTTTATTTATCTATGCCGATTTCCTTGTTGATATCGGTACGCATACAACGACATATCTCTATTCACATACACGACAACTAATCACAATCGACCCGTCTATAAATAATTTCAGCAAAAGCGAATGACGTACAGTTCTGGCGTGACACATTTCCGATGCTACACCCTAATCGGGCCTAAAGAAGTTTTACTTCAAAACTTTTGAAATGCTATGTACTTGCTGTGAAGTCAGGCGTTTTACACATAAAACCTAACTTCATATATGTGTTATCTGTGATAGTTTTATTTTAATAATATAATGGCAATTGTGAGGCCTAATAATTAACTTCCCGAAGGAGAAGTTTATGTTTTCATCAAAAAATCCGATTCACTAATTTTATGTTTTCTCGACGTTTCAAGCCATTCTGAATCGAATGAGACCAAATTTGGAAAAAGTATGTGTGTGTGTGTGAACAGATTTTTTGCCGTTTCTCGAAAACGGCTCGGTCGATTTCAAAAATTTAAAAGCCATTCGATGTATCTCGACGAGAACTATTGTTTGTCAGTTTTGTGCGACGATCGGCCAAGCCGTTTCTTTATAAATGACAGAAAAGTGAAAAATTTTTCGTCTAGGTTTTAGCCCGCAATTCTGAATCGATTTTGAAAATTCAAAAACCGTTCGAAAGATATTGGTTGGGAATCGTGCTGATTAGTTTTTGGTAGAGATCGGCCGGGCCGTTTTCTTGTAATAAAGTTTTAAAAAAAAAAATTCGACGATTTTTATGATTATTTTTTTGACGATAGATACCATAGTCTTCTAGATCATACTAAAATATTACGGCCCTACGACAACTCGTTCAGCTTTAAAAATTCGTCAAAGTTTGCAAAAATCAGTATGGTCTTTTTGGCATTTGTCAAAATTAGACATTTGATCGACGTTTTCTCAAAAACGCCTGAACCGATTTTAGAAATTTAAAAGCCATTTGATGTATTTCGGTGAGGACTATCGTTTGTCAGTTTTGTGCAACGATCTGCCAAGCCGTTTCTTTGTAATTTGAAAAACAAGTGTTAAACTTTTCGTTCACATTTAAGCTCATCCTACCGAACCGATTTTAAAAAATCAAAAACTGTTCGAAAGATATTAGTTGGGAATAATACTGATTAATTTTAGGTGAAAATCTACCCAGCCGTTTTCTTGTAATTAACTGTTAAAAAAAAATTCAAGCCGATTTTCATGGAACTTTTTTTGTCGATATACATCATGGTCTTATAGAACTTACTGTAATATTACGGCCTTACGACAAGTAGTTTAATTTTAAAAATTCGTCAAAGTTTGTTAAAATTATTATCGTTTTTTTTTTAAAGTAGGATTGATGAAGTATATTATTTACACTTTTTTTTTGATTAAGTCGATTATTTACACATATCGGGAAGTTCATCTAACTTGCCTCAAGGCTAAATACCAACTAGTTTTATAAGAAATGATATTAAAAATATTTTCCCTGTGAAATAAATGTACATAAAATCAAAACCACCTGTTAAAATTAGTTTATATATTATATATTATATAATATATTATATTATGTTATATAGTATGTTAAATACGTAACATATGACATATGACATTTGATCAATCGGGAGAGTCCGCGGTTGTCACAACGTTCGCTCAGCAAGTGACGTCACAATGCTTTCTATGTTTGAGCACTATGTCCATGTGGTCTATCTCATATATACCTTATCTCATATTTTTCTGAATTATATAAACTGATTTGCAAAGTTAATATGATTTTTTTCAAGTATGCACACGACGCCAGTATTTCTTTATACAGGATTTCTGTCAAGTTTTCTGGTAAGGTGAGCAAGAATTTTGTGCCAGAATTTTGCCTTATTCTATGATTAATAATATTACTGTGAATTTCACAATTTATATTTTATAGGCCTAAAATGCACTAATGCTAATAAGCGTACAAACAGAGCATTGTATGAAATGTGAACAATAAATATATAGGTACTGTATCCGATTAAGATGAATTCATAAGATGATTTAATTTTATATTTCTAAGAATTAAATAAAGTGATAATAATAAAAAGATAATAAAATGCTGCAGTTTAACATAACAATTATTGATTTTTAAAATCAGTATCTTAATCGGATAATTAATATTATTATATAGATATTAAAAAGGTTATGAAAAGTTCAGTAAATGCGTAAAGCCCATGAGGGTAATACATTTCAAATAATTTTTTTATTTAGTAGAATTTTTTTTTTTTTTTTTAATTTTTATTTGGTTTTGTTTAGTCTGACCATTTAGCCATCTACAACATTTTATTTATACTAATACTTAAATATACTAATCTAATAATTATTTCATGTTTTTTTATATTATTTGTACGGAAATAACTCCCCATCTCTCGCCCTTTCTAATAGTCCATGTCTCTGATCCGTACAGAGCTATGGTCCAGACTTAATTGAACAACATAAATATAAATTACTAGAAAACTAGTGGGGTGGGTGGGCATCGTGCCTTAAGGCAAATTGCTGGAACTTCCCGTACCGTAACGAAATGTTCGAGGAATACTGAATGTTTTCAAATAGATTATTATAAATATTGTAACATTGTCTAATATTTATAAGAATTATATAAACTGAATTGCTAAGTTGAAATTATTTGTTTAAAGTATTTTAGAACTATAGTCAGAATTAAAAATAAAATCTGAATTATTTTCGATATACAAAAAATTAAAAAAAAAAAAAATCGAAACAAAAATTTTTTTTCCAAAATCAATTATTTTGTTAAGACAAGCAAAAAGTTTTTTGAATCATTCAAATCGGACGCTTAGTTCTCTCAAAAACTGCCATTTTTTACATATTTAGCTCCGTATCTTCGAAATGGCTGGGCCTGCCTTTGCCAAAAACTAATAAACACTTCTCTCAATCATTACTAATTGAATGTTTTTTAGATCATTCAAATCGGATACTCCGTTCTCTCAAAAAGTCGATTTCTATTTTCTGCACTCTTTGCTCCGTATCCCCGAAACGGCTGGACCTGCCTTTGCCAAAAACTAATCAGCTCTTTTCCCTATCGATAGGAATCGAATGTTTTTTGAACCATTCAAATCGGTTGATCCGTGCGCCCGAAAACGTCGACGAAAAATTGTATCCATACATACATACACACACACACATCCATTTTTTCTGAAGTATGCCAAAATGTTCAGAAACCTTCAAAACGTCGAGAAATGTAAAAATTTTCAATTCCGATTTTCGGCCCATTACTATAACTTACCCTATGGGAAAAAAAAGAATGGATAAGATTAATATAATAATTAATGAAATATTTTATTGTATATAAATATATATAAATCATTAAGTTTACCAATAACAATTTATTGGTAATTAAATAGTTTATATATAATTAAATAACCGGAATAATTAATAATAATATAAATATTTTATTATATATAATATATATAAATATATATATATAAAATATATTATATATATATATAAATATATATATATATATATATATAAAAATATATATATATATATATATATATAACATACATTAATATATAATTAAAAAGATTATTTTACGGAATAATTAAATTTTATATATAAATATATTACTTAATTGAACAACATAAATATAAATTACTAGAAAAAAAAAAAAAGAATGGATTATATTAATATAATAATTAGCACTTTATTAGTCTCTTCCACAAGTCGAGACTCAGTTTGCTCATCGGGAGTATAAGAAAGTTATCTACTATGGATCACTTCATGCTGAAATAATGTTTGTTTTGTTTTGAATCCCTTACCGCATATCTTACATTCATGAGGTCGTTCTTCAGTATGGACCATTTTATGCCGTTTTGAATCCTGTTTTCTTTTAAATGTTCTCTTGCATATTTCACATCTATAAGGTCCTTCTAAAGTGTGCACTAATGCATGCACTTCTAAATCACTTGATAAAACAAACTTTTTATGGCAAAACTCACATTCATAAGGTCGTTCTTTAGTATGGGTCAATTCGTGCTGGTTTAATGTTTGTTTTGCTTTGTATGTTTTATTACATGTTGCACATTTATGAGGGCGTTCTATAGTGTGCACTGATAAATGTCTGCGTAAATGGTTTGATCGTGTAAATCTTTTATCGCATAAATCACAACTGTAAGGACGATCTTCATCGTGCAATAATAAATGTTTTTGGAAAAGCTGTAGTGTGTGAATTTTTTATTGCAGATATCACATATATGGGTTTTTTGATGTTCTTCTGAAGTCCTTCCAAATGATTTGTTCGTATTATCTTCTAAATTGATGGGATTGTTTATTTCTTCATTAGATATGTAAGGTTCTTCTTCACTTTCTTTGTTAGTGACTGCGCCTTGCCCATCAAATGTTTCTTGCTTTATTTGTTCTTCAATTGTTACCTCGGATTTTAAAAATTGCTGTCGACACATTTCTTCACGTTCCACATAAGATCTTTCGTGGAAACTTGTTTCATCTTGATCAATTATTTCTTGCTTAATTTCTTTCTCAGATTTTGAAAATTGCTGTAGATATATTTCCTCTTCGTCAGGACATATTTCTGATATTTCATAATCATCTAATTCTTGTTTAACTTGTGGATATTCAATTGGTTCTATTTTAATTATTGCGTTTGTTTCTTCAGACATATTCTGGGTTTGCTCCTTTTTTTAAAATAAACTAACGATGGCTCCTAAAAGTTGATACCTATATGTTGTGTAATAATTATGTTTTAATATATATTTATATTAGTTTCGTTTAAATTCAATATAATTCCATGAAACACTTCGACATTCCTGTCAAATTCTCACCAGGTGTCAAAAGATCAGGTGTGACAACTAGTGTTAGAACGAATCATCGAGTACTGAGTAAATATCGATACTTTGCGGTCGATAGTGAGTACTTTTGGTATCGATTTTTTAGCTCGATATATTTGCCAATATCGATCTTTTACGTCGATAGTACTCAAAAAGAATCGACAGCGTAATCTATGAACCCCACTTATCGACCAACTATGAAAACCAACCATTTTGCCGAATGCAATGCAATAGTCTCTCTAGGTGGTCATAATTGTTCAGAGAAGTGTCAAAAAATGATCCCGAAGGGTCATTAGTCTCAGAATTTATTGCTCAAAAACCCAAAATGAATATGACCACTCTAATAAATAAAGATGTTTATTTATTATTCTTATGTAAAACGAAACCGCTTTTTAAAGTACCAAAATGTTTTGTAAAAACTTATTCAACAATCGTAGTATGATTATCTTATATATAAAAATGGATCGCAAAATGTGTTGGTAAGCGCATAACTCAACAACGCCTGGACCAATTTGACCAACTCTTCTTTTAAAATGTTCGTTTATGTCCAAGGATGGTTCTTACGGCGAGAAAAAATCGAATAATTGCCGGGAAAACCCTAAAAACGGCTCTTTTATTTTTCTCAAACAAACGTTTACAGTATATGTGGGAATCAAGTAGGCAACGAAATTTGTAGAAAAACAATAATTTATCTCATGACATTTTGTGTAGATTTCGATAAACTAATTCTTAATATTTTTTTATAAACATAGAAATATCTTTCTATTAATCAAGCTATATTGGCAGCCAAAAATATTGATGTAAATGAATTAAATTTCAAAATTCATGAACAAATTACAGGCGAATTAGTTGATTCGACAACTAACCAAGACATGTAGTTAACTATCCACCGGAATTTTTAAACTCGCTGGATTGCCAAAATTGTCACCTCACAATCTCATTAAAGGTAGAATCGGCAATTATAATGTTCGAAATATCGACCAACCGCGCCTTTGCAACGGCACAAGGTTAGCGATAAAAAAAACTACCAAACAACGTGATGGAAGGCAACTACATTGAAAGGATAGTATAAGCAGAGATGTTTTCTCGCACCGTGCATCCCAATGATTCCGACTGATGTGCCATTTGAGTTTAAACGACTACAATTTCCAGTGCGTTTACGGTATCATTAAGTGTTTTGTGGTATTAATTGGAAAACCCATGTTTCTCACATGGTAAATTCCAAAGAACATCGTTATCACAAAGCACTACAATGAGAATTGAACTGATTTTTTTAATTATGATTTACATGATTAAAATTACTTACATTTAAATGCTTATAGTGTTTTATTTAATTATTTTTAATCCACACCGAATTATTACCAGGGTGACGGTTCTGTTCAGGATAATTTTTA